CATCCATCCACTAGGAGTGGGATGGATGGTGGGGATTAGATCTTATCACCTTGTACTTGTTGGTGAGAGCTATATAAGGGAGAGGAGAACCATTGTTGGTATCTCTCATCTTCAGAGTTTACGTTTCTATCTTCGAGTGAACTTCTCTCTAAACCCTAGTGTTACAGTCCTCTTCTCTTGTCAAAAAGATGTGTTCTTGGTCTGTAGTGGAAGGTCTTAATGATTGAGGAATGACGACACAAGCTCCTTTAGACTTTGTGACAGGTCATGTACTAGAGACCAAATCATCTTTTTGTATCATCTTCTTGGTCATGGCAATCTATTGAGCAGTTGAGCAGCGCTGGCTTGCATGAAAGCAAAATAAGACGGGCAAAAGGAAGAAGAAAATTCTACAGCAAGACCATATCATATGATAGCTACCTTCAAGCACTCTCCAACCATGGCATCACGTGGCAAGCTATAAAAAGTACGAGGAAGCTGGTACACTCTAGAATATATCATAGTGATTTGTACATGATGTGTTGTTTGTGAATCCTTGCTGGTCAATATTTTCATTTTTGACAACCCTCATATAGGTTTGGGCATCAATCATCAATGAAATTTTTGGATTTGGTAAAAATGTGGAATATTTCTATGTTCTCTAGATTTGATAATTTAGTTTTTTTATTTTCAATTTATATTCAAATTGATACTTTCTAATCAAAAAATATCTAAGTATGAGCATCAGAATAAAAATTATGATTTTAAATACAATAAAACTTTGATGCGCTTTTGAGATGATTTTAATGGTTAAATTGTGATTGATTAATTGGTTAATTGATTGTGATTAATTCTAATTGGTTAATTGTGAGTGATATCTTTAGAAAATGAAGATGCCTACCTTTCATAACCTATATTTTCACACAATTTTTTTTAGAATCTATAGAAAGATTATAGATTTTCTATAAGATTTTTGTTAAAAAAAAGCAAATTTTCAAGAATTAATCAAGAGATTTTAGAATTGAAAAATACTCCTCTAAAAGTGAGAAAAAATTCCAAATAACGCAGTATTAATTAGTAGTGATCCAATGATTCCAATTTGCTTAAATTTTGTTGAGTATGTGAGTGATTAGAGACAGATGACAAGTCAAACTTGATTGACATAATCTGAAGGTTTTATACAAACTATGTTAAATTTCTCTGAGAAACATATTTGAGGTTATTTTGGCTTCTGGAATTGGATTTGCTCTACAAGCTGGAATATAGATTGGAGAATGATCAACTAAAAGCTGTTCTATGACATTTCAAAGTCTAGCATTTTCTTGTTGTAGCTGTTTGGAGCATGGCAATGTCATGCATTTGAATTACCAAGGGGTAAAGAAATTTTGTGTTTCAAATCGTTTCTTTGCATAAAATATTTATCAACATTTTTGGAATTATTGGCAATAATTTACATAAAATTTTTATACATGTCAAATGATGTGTCCTTGAGGAGTGCTAGTTTTATAAAAAATCTTCATAAAAAAAATCTAAGTTTTTCTTTCATAAGATTTCTTGGTGACCATGATATCAAGTTTAATTTGCTAATTTCTTGTGAGCGATTAATTTATAAATTTGTTAGCTCCTTCTGTATATTTGAAAGGTTAAATATTACTGTAAAAAACACAACTTTTTTTATATATTTATTCTTATATTATCATTGAAAAATAAAAATTTGAGCAAAAACTTAATGCAACAAAATGACATTAAGTTTCATATATGAATGTTATATTAAACATAATTTTTCTAGCTTTACTAATTTATTTAAGTTAATAAATTTTGATGCATAAAGAAAAGAAATTTTTGATCGTCTTCTTTTTAAAAAAGAATATTAAATTCTCTGATGTATTCAAAAGAATATTTTTCTTCTGTTTTCTAAAAAAACATATGTGTTTTTATATAATTTAAAATCTAAAATTTTCATAAATGAAAAGGATTTGAAAACTACTTATGAAAAAAAATGTGATAAAAAATCTATGTGAATAATGAAATTTTTTTCTTCTGAAGGGTTTTTGAAATAAGAATCTTCTATCCTGAAATATATCTAAGACATTTTATTTGAAATAAAAAATAATATTATCACCATAAATATATCAATATTTCAACCTTCAGTGTCATATATATACACTTTCTAGTCGTTTGTTGAATGATTATCAAAATCAAGACTTCTCTTTCGGCATCACATTTTTGAAACTAATACTTAGTTAATTGTACTATAATCATGAATGAAAAAAAATAATATATCGATTTGTAACCTCTGATTGCGTGCTCATAATAACTGTATTTTTTTGGCCTTTTTATCTTACTCACTAGAAAAAATCATACTCCATGTAAAATAATATGAATATTTTAAAATAATATTTTCACTTTATACTTTATTCAGGTTTTAGTTGTATATATTGGCGTTGACATGAGTATCTAGTTTTTATAAAATCAGACATATGATAAAGATTGGTTAACATTGAAACAATAATAATAACATTGAAATTACGAAATATATTTGTTACTTTCATTTTTGAATGCTGAAAAAATTTTATTAATTTACGTTTCTTAAGGTTGTTTCATTTTGAACTACAAGTTATTTTTTCGTGTTTATAAATTGCTACCACAGGTATCGACTGTTTTTATGACTTAATTTTAGAAATTATATATTTAAGCTAAAATATAGTATACATATAATTTTAATTTCATAATATGGATTATTTATTCACTGCTAGAAATCAAGCTCATGACAAGCTAAAAAAATACTCATTTTTCCAGATATTCTCATGAAGTTTTATATATTCTTGTTCCAGAAATTAGATTTCATAAAAAAATCATGCATTCTAATAATTAATTGAAATAATTTTAACACATGCTATATTGTGTAACAATTCGTTGATAAAATTCAACTTACATGCTAAGAATAAAATTATTTTAATGTTTATACCATTTCTCTGTAACATTTATGGAAGTAAACACTTCTTCAACATATTGTAGTAGAAATATCTCAGAAATTTTCTACTAGAAAAATCTATAGAATCAAATGTCCAAGTGTCTTAGATCTTTGTGTTATTTTAATACGGATTAGTTATACGTTATTCTTGCAATTTAGATTCCTTACTCCCTCTAAATATCAAGAAATATGTTGATAAATCATCTTCAACTATCTTCCTATAAAATCATACCACTATTTAGAATTTTGTTAAAAGGTATTTCGATCCAGACTCTACGGAATTAGTGTCATTCTTCATTTACTTTTCAAATTTGAACAGGATACTGTATATGAAGATTGTATTTTATCTTCAGAGAGGCATATATACATTTATGAGATTTTAGTATGTTTTATCTAATGAGTATTTCCATAATGAATAGAAACCATTTTAAACCACCATATAGGTAAAAGATGAGAACTTATCTTCTATTTAAATCGGAGAATTTGAGTATAAAACTGGGTTTGAAATTATTGATGTATATCAATTGAATGATAGATTTTTTATCCACTATTTGTTGAAGGAAATATTCCAGCATACTAACTACATCATTTTAATTTAACACATGAAGCATGAGTATTCTAAACATGAATAGGCCACTTCTTTAACATTTAGACATACATCTTTTCAATGTTTAGATTATATAAGGATCTCTTGTTTCAATGTGGAAGTCACTGATTATTAGATTTATAATTCAAAAAATATTTGAAATAAATTGTATTTATAATGATTAGATTTCGACACATTTGATTTGAAATTTTAGAAATCAAAATATTTAAGAAAATGAGAATCTCTATTTAAGAGCACCATCTTGATTATTTTGATGTATTTGTGATCTTTCCCGATCTAGTCAGAGTTACTTATATATGGTGACAACAAGTGTAGGAAAAAACTGTAGATCTAGCTTTGATTGTGGTTACAAAATTCTGAACAGCATGTTACATCCTTAAAGGGATGTTATTTAGATTCTTGCATATGAATCGTGCTGGTGTTAACAAAAATTCTACGGAGAATTTCATCATTTGATTTGATTAATTTAGAGGAAGTTCTGAATGCAGTCTCAGTAAAGTGTTTACTTAGATCAATGAAGGACATGTTGATATTTTCAACGTCTTATTCTTCCTTGTTGAAAATAGATTATGTTCGATGCTTTATCATGAACTTAAGCTCTAAAAAAATACACGACACTAATGAAACCTGAAAGACTTGAAACTGGTTTCAATCTCAACGGCTTTAAAAACTATTGGGCTGTAGATACAAGGAATTCCGCAATGGAAATGTATTTAGAAGAAAGAAATATTAGAAAGCGAGGCTGTGGCATACTGCATTCTAGTATTTATTCTATGGCATATATTCAGTATAGTTTCTAGATTTGAAATAAAAGCTAGAAATATATGAATGAACATGTTTGATGAGCTAGTTCTTAGAAGTAAATAAGAAAAATACAGAACGCTCAAGAACCGTTGATGTTAACGGAGATGTGTCAAACAGGATGAATATAAATGCCTTCGCATTTGTAACAAGAAAAGTATCTCAATTTACCTTGCATCAATATGACGATATTCAGAGAATTAGGCTAAACTTGTCACTATGATTATCCTTTCTTTGTTGTTCCTGATCGTCTTTCGAATTCGGAAAGTTCACAGAGTGCGTTGTGCAGAAGAAATCCGAACAAGAAAGGGGTTGAGGAAAATGCAGCCCCCCGTTCGAACCGTGAAGAGAAAAACACTGATTTGAGCAAATTCCACTTCGCCTTGCACTGCAATCATCTCTCGATGAGAAATCGTTTCCACACGAGAGATAGAGAACTGCAACTCCTCAAGTTATTAACTCATAAGAAAGGCCACGAGAGGTGCGATGCTTTCTTTCGTGGAGACCGAGTTCGAACCGGGGGCCGGGGTGGCCCGGTCGCCAGAAAACGGTCAGGCCGAACAGTCCTAACGGCCGGACATCCACTTCTTCCCTCTTCAGCTCCGCCGCGGACGAGGTGATCGACCACGTCCAGGTAACCGCAGCGGCAGCATCGGACGTGGTCTATTTGCCTGACGCGACTGCGGCCTTTCGAGGACTGCGTGTCTTTTCGCCCTCTTCAGTTGCAGTCTTGGCCTTCCTGTGTACCTCACTGGACACTCGAAGAAGATTCTGAATTTCATATCCACGACAAGTGTTGCATTCTATGAGCTCCGAGAGCGTGTGATAGAGGATCGGAAGTGCGTAAAGTGAAGGCTTGAGGCAAGAAATGATCGTCCCGGAGATGTTAGGAGGTGGAGAGCGAGACTGTAAACTGTTGCTGCTTGCTGCTGCTGTGCTGGTGGGCATTATAAGCTCACTTCAAGTGGCTGTGCGTGCCGAAGTATACAACGTAGGCGATGGAGGTGGCTGGACGACGGACACTAATTACACTCAATGGGCTGCGCAATATACATTCCGCGAGGGCGACACCATCGGTGCAGTTTCTTCCCAACGCTCTTCTTCATGCACGTTTCAGAATACACAGCGGTCTTCTGTCGTGCAAGTCTCGTGCTAAAAATCTGGGTTCAATATTCGTTCCTAAACTCTCGTGAACATTCTTAATACGATAATTCGAAAAGACAGACTTATTGTGGAAACTGAATGTGGCTTTCCAGCAAGTTCGCCGTGAAAAACACTAATAAGAGCAACTGTCGTTCGGATGTGGTCCAACAGTTTTCTTGTATTCTCGAGGATCGCACGATGTGTTGCGAGTAAACCAGAGGGACTTCTTAACCTGCAGCGCCTCCACTCCGATAGAGACGGATGCAAGTGGGGAGACGGCCTTCCAGCTTCGAGCAGGAGGATATTACTTCATTTGCGGATTTCCAGAGCACTGCCGGAGTCAGCAGAGGGTTTACGTCAAGGTGTTACCAGCTGTGGCGACTCTTCCTCATCAAACTGCGGGCGGGAACTTGCCAGCTTACACACAGTCTGCAGAAGGTCCTACTAGCGCCGCCACTGGTATGGTCCCGACTGCTGCACCGAGTGCTGCAGCTCGTCCACGGCTATCTACTCACTCGCTGATTGTGCTCATACTCACAGCGATGTTATCACTAACGTGCTTTGCTCCTCGACTGAAATCAGTGTGACAGAATGCCGTCACATGACCACGTTATATTCTCCCTATATCTAACTCCGTCAGCTCATCGGGAGCAAAGGAAACTCTGTAAAATGGTAGTTACACGTGGCGTTTTGTAGCAGCCATCGATTATGCATTGTTAGTGGTCCCTCACTCTGTCATGGACCAGTTGAAGGCTTTTGACGAACCTGAGGATGAAACAGACTTCATGAGTAAAATAGATCAATGAATGTTAAAACAAAATATCATCGTGAGAATTTTATCAAGAGTGAAAAAATTGCTGATCTACGTGACAGCTGATAACTCTTTCCTGCTATGATGTCGGTGTAATGTACCTGTGAGCCAGTCATGATAATTTTTTAATGGTATATTGGTATACCGGTGCATGTATAATAAAGCCCTTCCCGGCGTCTGTAATCCCCTCTTCTCAACTCGGCAATATATATCGGTCGTGTAGAATCTTCTCATTTACAATAGCAGGGGCCACTGTTTTGCCGTTGCTATTTACTGATAGCAATTTAGGCACCTCGTGGAAGAGGAGTGAGACTTATAGAGCGATCAGGATGGGAAGACCCCATCCTTTCTATCTTCCACTTCTCGTGGAAGAAATACGTCGCCATGCCGAGGAGGCGCTTACAGCCGGCGTTTCTTACTACCAGCTGTTTCGAAGTGGAGTTGTCAACCATGGTTTGGCCTTGATAGACCTCAATTGTTCCCATACTCACAGTCTTCATGCTTGGTATGGAGACATTTCTTGGACTCCCTAACCTAGGGCACAGTGTCTTTCAACAACGAGCAAAAAAATCTCATACACATGCATGAGATTCCGTCGACCTCAAAGGCAACCACTACAATCTCTGTTCATTTGCTGACTTGGTCCTACAAAATATAAGCAAGACCAGTTTTCTCCCATGCTTAAGGACACGTGGGACTTTTGGGGTTTCTTGTTACTTTTATCCCGTCTCTTAATCTCTTTTGGAATGAGGTCTCTTTGACTTAAAACACTCAACTTCTGAATCAGTATGAGTATGTCTTAGGAGTCTTAAAATCTAAAATGAAACTTGAATTGGAGAACTACTGATATTTTCGATCCAGGTCTATTACTGCCTTCTATGTGCTGGCACGATTACGATTGATCGTCATGTTCAGGTAGGGCCACATTCAATCTCCCTTGCTACTTCCTCTAATAAAGTAATTGATGATATCTACGGGTCAGTTTTACATTGAGGTTACGGAGGAGATGGTGGCTAGCCATTCGAAAGGACATTCAGTCATTGTCAATGATCTTCATTCATTGCATGGGAAATCGGTTGAAGATATACTTGCGGATGATATCTTCAATATTTGAATCATTTTCTAACGAAATGAATCTTTGAAATAACATAAGTAGATAAGAACTTGAGCTAATATTTGCAGAATGTCTCTATGTCATGGTATGAACTGCTTATTGGAAACCGCAAGTTTGTATCGCAAATATTCATGATATATGAATGTGAATCCACATGATCCCGATTTAATGCATAGTGATAAGAAAGAGGTCTGGGAGTAATACGGACAGGCTTGTCCTCCTTTTCGAGGTCTCGACAGAACTCCGTGACAGTGACGATAGTGACTGTTACGATTGCTTTTGCTTATCTCCGTCTGTACTATGCTCGGCGATCCTGAAGGAAAAGTTGATCCGAATGCAAAATCAACTTCCGGATGCTTTCCTGAGCGTTCCGTGCTATCTACAACACAAATGCCTTCCACTCCTGTCAGTTAAAACTCAGTAATGTTTTCTATAAATCAAAACGCTCATTCAGATCATAAGACCATCACGGAGGCCTTGAAGAACTCAGATCCGGTTCAGAGGTAGAAATGCTCTGGTTACTCTCGATGACAGCACCAAGTCAATTAGTAATTCCTCAGACAGCAATCTGAAAGCCACGTGAAGACAAGATCCCTCGACAGACAATCTCGTGTGAAGGGGCAGATGAAAGGAGAAGCCGCAGCGTCTTTGATCGACAGCAGCACTGAAAAGGAAGAGACGAAAAGTAGAAGAAAGCACTCCTACAACTGTGCTTCCTCAGAGAAGTGAGCCTGGAGGATCCTCGGAAAGGAGCAGATTGCGTCTCTGTAGCCGCAACCTACTGGACAATTGTGTGCTGATGGAGCACGGCATCCACAGTAGGAAACGCAAGCAATGCTCTCCCACCTGCTTCCGATCACGTCACAAAGGTGTTACCGCACCAAGAGCAAGGGAGTTCTTGTAACATTAACACTTCCGCGTCCAGACGTTTCCTCCCTTAGGATTGCTGATTTCAGCATCAGAGAATCTCCGGCGGTACTCAAAGCAGACCGTGGTCTTCAAATGTAAGGCTTCCAGGCCAAAATACTACATTTGAGTACCATCCGGTATTTTATAGATGCCTGCCCGGTCCTGTCGACCTTGGCGGAACATCTGGAAAACATTGCGGCGAGGCTTGAGCTCAGTAAAGCAAGCGATCAAGCATTCTCGAAGTCCGTGAAACTTAATGCCACATGCCCTCGGACGCAGCGGCAGAACAAATTTCTAAATGATTGTTCACTTTCAGCTGGAGATTGTAAACCGAATGAGAGCTAAGTTCTTTCGAAAGGCTAGAATTGGTGGGCTAATGCTCGATCTCAGCGGTAATTGACCGGTAAATTCTCCGAGATGCTATGAGGGGTTTCACGATAGCTTTCTACGGGTCACGGTCATTTCCCCAAATATCTAAAAGTAAATGATTTTTACGTGAATCTAAAAAAGCAACCCGTAATGCGCACACTCAAAATTTTTCTGGGTGTTTTTTTACTATTTTCCATAATAGTAGTAAGGAGACAATTTAAGGGGAAAAGAGTCAACTGCCGAGAGTATTTTTTGACTTTTAAATTCCCGCCTCTAGGCGCCCTGAAGAAAAGAACATGGAGCTGTAAAAACGGTTGTCATGGATAGTTCCCACACACTCACAACACTGTAAAATACGGAAATGAATGCTTTTAAACAGAACGCAAATCGGAGCGTTCGAAGCTCTTTCTGATCTCATCTTCCGGCAATTTTGGCCCTCTTCAAAATGATCGCAAGAAATAATGAGCAGATTGATATTATCAAAAAACCTCAAGCAATTGATTTTATCTCGTTCATGCAGAGGATGTCAGATTCGAGGTAAAATTAGAAACCGCAAAATGGAGTGAAAGTTAGTGCGTGCAAAATGAGTGTATGGGAGTGTTCAGAAAAAAATAAAACAACTTAGAACTTAAAGAAGATTTGTGAGCATGGTAGTTGTAATGCGATGTTTACGTCGTCCATGTTATGCAAGAGTGAAACCATGCAAACCATCAGTATAAGAGAGTGACCGAGGTTAGCAACCGAACTGGTTACCACGCAGTTTCCCTGGCATCACGAACTGGGTTGAGTCCGGAAGGAGACAACAGTACATGGAGACCATTAAACGTAAAGAAGACATTCAAATCCTTATTAGAGATTGTTACCAAATTATTTTTCGCAGCAGTTTGTTATGTTTCTTCAGCATCCACTGTCAGCCAAATGACCCTTCCCCTAAATTGGTCATCTCTAGTCACGCAAAGAGTATGGGTAGAAAATGGCGTTGATCATTATTAGTAATTATCACTATATTACCAAAATTATTATTTTTAATTATCACTAATTACCATCTGCTATACACAGATAAATCTACAACTCAAGACCAGAATATGATGCTCTCGCAAAAATCCCTTCAGTGGACGGAGGGGGTCAGAAAAGGCTTCGGTCGAACTAGAGGATGGAGAAGGGAGGTGGAAAAGGCGCTTCCGCTTTGGGGTACAAAGCGGGCCAAGAACGATCTAAATGTGGCTGCGGAAAGGGCCAAAGAAGGGAACATCGGGATTGGGGATTCCGGAGCTGAAAAGCGATCCCACGGAACCGGAAAGAAAGAGAGAGAGAAAAGACGGCCACGAGCTCAGAAGCATAACGATATGCCGCAACCGAAAGGTTCCGCCCGCAGCACAACCGAAAGAAGAGCCTGCAGCTGCTGCTGGAGCTGCTCCTGCACTGCACTCCAGCTCTCGCAGTCTTTGTCGATGCGCCTCGTCGGGCCGGGCTGTCAGTCGGTCTTCCTTTCTTTGCTCGATTCTATCGTATGAACTTTTTCCTCGGAGGACGAGGCGGTGAGGTGGATGTGGACGTTGTTGGCAGCTGCGATTCGTCCCGGGCAATTGTGATTGTGATTGTGAATGTGATTGTGATTGTCGCCGAGGCCGACCGAGGTGTTGGTGCGCGATGGCTGCAGTTGCAGAAGGCTGTCAGATTGAGAGTTTGTTCCGTGTGAGAGTGGATGTGCGTTGCAGGAGACGTGATTGAGTTCCGAGTGAGATTTTTTCCTCCTGCTTCGTTGCAGGGGTGAGGGATCGAAAAGCGGGCGCGAGTGTGAAGGACATGAGTGAGTTGGATTGAGGCAGGGAGCGAAGGAAGAGTGGACAGAATGGCCAGCGCTCGGCAGCCGGAGCGGAAATCGAGCAAGAGTAAGGGCAAGCAGAGTGTGCAAGATTCGATGGGAACGGAAAAAGGTTTAGCCGAGGGTTCTGGTAGTGTGTCGAGTTGGAATGAGAGCGTTGATCGATTACTCGATGCATCGCCACGATACACGTCCGCTGTGCGCGCTGCCTACTCCCGATTCTGCCTTCCAACGCCTGAATCTGCTATCCCTCCAGCTCTTCTACTCTCAGCTCTTCAATATTTTCTGCAGGTCAGTTCCTTTCCAAGAATTGAGATTCTCGATTCATGTCTCATCCTGTGCCTTAATGCCATCTTCAAATCTTTCTGGTTTGATTGCATTATTTGTCCTTCCTCTTTACCCGTATCAGGTGTCGAAGGTATGACCTGCTCCGTAATTGTCGGATGCCCCAAACTCTGAGAGAACATGTTCTGTCGAAAAGAAAAAATTTCCGTATTCGAGCTTTAGGTGATATCTCTGTCACATTGTATAGTTCTGGCACTAACTTAATACTTGGTCGTCCCATAATTTGCCGGAGCGAAAGCCACGTCATTGACAATGATTTGAGTGTTCGCAGAAAATAATCGAAGATCTCGATGTGAAAGCGGGGAAGCTCTGCCTTCGACCTGTGACACAGGATGATGTTGATACGATCATGGAGAGCGACGAAACCCTAGCACGGAAGCAGGGTCAGCTATTTGATTTCGGGACATTCGATCTTTGTGCACGTTGTCTTCTGAAGCGTGTGGCGCTTGACCGAGGAAAGCGTCTTGGACTTTTCATGTTAGGAGGAGTAATTGTGGTGCACATGGCCAAGAGCACGGTGAAAAGGATCCCATTCATCGGTCCCCCTGTCAGCGCGTTCGTGAACGCTCTGGTGCCTACAACTCTTATGGGTCCTGCTGTGGGTGTCGCGGGAGCAATGTACCTGTAACTAAACTTTTACATCTCCAGATGTACACAATTTGCAGACTACACCTTCACCGCCTCCCTGTGTTGAGGGCAAGTAGTCTCGAAAACAACCTGCTGTGCCCTTATGTTCTTCTGAGGATCTGGGGGCGGCCAGATGGTCCTTTCTGAAGAGGAGTCTCATTCTCTGGCTGAATTGACAAATGTACATACGTGGCTTCTTAGAAACGTGTGACAGTGTCTCCTCAAAGACACGATACTCTTCTCTAGTTTGGCTCGGCAGTATTATTCAATTAGTGTACTGGCTCTGTCTCTCCACTCTTCAGGCATCGCGGCCCAAGCCGCCGGATGGGGTTTTCGTACGTCTGGTCTTTGCGTGCATCTAAATATGAAAAATATATGTACCTGAGTACGATCAATGTGACGGAGGCTACCTTCGCAATCATTACAGGATGCTGTTCATCACAACAGCGCACGCATTCAAAGCCGAAATCTCTGTACAACCTGTAGATGTTCCTTGAAGGAGGAATTGGCTATCAATTCTTGGTAGTCGGGCTGTCTTCGCTTTATAAATCTGCCGTTGAATAACATTGATTTTCTTGCATCACATGGATAGGACGGAGACAGCAGAGTTGTGTTGTTTCTGCGTTTCCGTAATGTTGGCCTCTTCTTTTCTTGACGTGAGATTGTCTCACAGGGTGAAAGAGTGAGGCTCTTGTAATCAGGAAGCTTTGGATCATCAACAAATTGTGGGCAGGTCACCTCATCCTTACTGCTGTTTTCTTTGTGTTGTTACTAGAAACTATCATCTATTGTCCCTAACGTAATTTGTAGCAGAGAATCTGGAAGCAGGGAGAGAAATGATGAGTGCAGTCAAATCTCTAGACCGAGTAACAGACATGAGAGTTTTTTTGTCAGCAGTCATGAAGATAAATGCACCTGTTTCGATCTTAATTCGAATTTCAGAAAATGTTTACAAAATTCTTATCAGCAAACGAACTTTCAGTTCCCAAGATTGGCATACCCCTTGTGCTTGGTAAGCTTCATGGAGAGCTTCAAGGAGCAGGTTTCAGGAGCTTGATCTTTGGAAGTACCCAACCGTGACTGTCCTCCTTCGGTAGCAGGCGGAATCGTTCCCACCAAGCCTACCTTAATAGTGCCTGCTCACACGCACGAAGAGTGTGGACTGTATAGCTCAGAGAAAACATATGGCTGCAGCTAATTGGATATGGACAGTCCCACCCCCAGTCTAGCGAATAATGGATACAAGGTACGGGCCTTGTACTCAAGTCAACATCCACAATGCTCGTCCATCCTGTTCGGTGCTAAGGCGGGCTCCGACCAGCCGCGAACTTGAGCTCACCTGTTGTGTTCTTCACATCAAGATGAGCAGAACGCGAGCTTGTAGCGTTTTCATTTTGTCCACATTCTTCAAAGTTATATTTTTGCTTCAGAGTGTGATGTGCAAGTGTACAATACATGTCATGTGCATCAATGGTTTCACAGGTGACTAACTTCGATCACCTTAGAGACCTCGATTTCTTACCGATCGAACCGAGACTCGACTCCGGGGGGAGAATGAAGTGACAAACATGCCAGTCAGAAAGCTCTTCGGCAATTTAGAGCTCCGTGCACAACTCAGGTGAGGTCAAATTGTATGAGTTATTCGGGATTTTGTCGACCGAAGATACTTAACAAGAGACTGCGAACTGCTATGACTCGGCATCCCTTGTTGTGGGTCGTTGCGAATGGACGATTTCTATTCTTCACTTCCGAAGTGAAAACCGCTCTAATTACGTCGCTTCTTTCTTTAGGGTTGTGACCAGAAGAGCATCTTAAGTTGACCATTCTACAACGGACTAGGAATGAGAGTGTGTGTGGGTCCTGCGTGGGTGACAGCTGACATGTGATGTTCCGATGAACACTTCATTCATCAACAGCATCAGTTGTCATACTTTCGTTAAGAGCAAGCTGCAATGATAACGACAAAGGGGAATCTCTTTACACCCCACGACCAGGTACCAAGGGAACACGAGAAGAATGTTTCCTACCCACCGTCAGGAACCAATAAGGTTCCCTTGACATACGGGTCTCTTTTCTACTTCGTGCCTGATCCAGTTCGGCCTTCTAGCGCACATGATTGTCTCACCAATACCCGTATTTTGAGGTCGAAATACGAGTAGAACGAAGTATACGTCGACCTCATTCGCATATATCAGACTTGCCGAACATCAAACCAGCTACTGATTGCAAATCCTAAGTTGGTCAAAGTAGCAGTTCACAAGCTCAGTGAATTCTTCTCCGTTTCACGGGATTTGGATTTCATTTCGAGAAGATTCCAAAATCCTGTAAACTTATACTCTCGTCGCTTATACACATTGCTGACATGCTCTGACATGTTGGAGTCCGGACTGCTGCCTTCTGATTATCTTTAAGAGGAAAGGAGCTCAGTACGCCCAAGACGTTGGCAGGAAGAAGAGGAGAAGCGCAGGGCTTCCTCACAACGTCTCGCGGAATGGGAACGAATCGGTGAACCAATATGATGCTCGTTGGGTCGGAAGTCGTACAGTCGGCCGAAGATCGAGCGATATGGTAGATGAAGAAAGACGGTATGCCTCGGAGGCTGCCCTGCCCTGCCCCGCGCAGAGCCGGTGCACAATCATTGCTCTGTTCCGCTGCTGGCCTTATCGCAAGGGCGCGGGGTTCGAGGACGACGGTCGATAGGCTGCGGCATGCGCTGCAAGAAGACAGCGGAGCTCATTATCTTCTGACGTCGTCGCTCATGAATAGAGAGGGTCGACTTTGCCGGAAGATGAGGAAGCGACTCGGAAATTCGGAGTGTGGTGCTGCTCTCTTTGTAAGAGCGTGAGGGCGAAAAGACGGAGGGAGGAGAGAGCGATCACTGATGCAGAGAAATGCGTAGGTCGTAAGGTAAGCGATGGGTTCGAGAAGACTTGCTTGACTTTGTCGGAGTCCTCAATTATGCCAATAGTGTCCAAAGCCCACACAGGTCGCATCGCTGTGGTCCCGTCGAGTCCTGGACTGCTCGGGGATTTGGCGGCGGGGTCCACAATCGTGGCTCCAGAAACATATATTTCTGGGCATAGCCAGATCACGATCACGGTGGCCTGCGCAATTGTTTCCCGAGCTCGTTCCTGAAGCCTGACACCCCACCTCGCCAGGAACGAATCTCCGGCCAGGCAAGGGAAGGAAGCGAAGCGAAGGGAAGAAGGCAGACTGCAGCGCCAGCAGCATCAACAACAACGCCTACTACTCACAACAGAAAGGGGAGATGCAGTGGGGATCCAGATTCAGATTTGAGGTTGAGAAGCATGATGAACAAAAGGACCACGAATACTTACAGGGTGCTGCTGTTCAACTGGTGCGTGTGGATACGGACGGTCATCGCGTTCGCTTACTCCAAGGCAAGAGCATATCTGCGGAGTTTCTTCGTCCGGTCTGAAGATCCTTGCAACCCTGGATGGATTCAGTCCATACTCAGGCTCAAATTCACTCATCTTCCTCCCATCGCTGGAATTCAAAAATCGGCGAGGACTCTTCAAGGCGGAGGACTTGTAGGTCTGCTTTACAGCATTGAGCTTCGGTATGGGAAGCGAGACTCTTCGGCCGGCTATCCGCACTCTCTCGTGGTCAAACAAGGCAAAGACGATTTCCAGAGTCGCTTGTCCACGGTGTTCGACGGATCTGCCCGAGAAGCCTTATTCTATGAAAGCCTCGTGCCCAAATATGACATCCTGTCCTCCTGCGTTCCCGAGGTGTATTACAGTCGTGGAAGCCTTGTCACGGGCGAGTACATTGTGGTGATGGAAGACTTGCAAGGCGAAGCTGTGCCCACAGGCCATTTGCTGGGAAATCAATGCTGGGGCGATGTTCCCGTGCCAATGAAGCTGGAAATGCTGACGACCAGCGAGGTTCTGAGCACTACGTTCGCCAAGATGGCCGACATTCATGCGCACTTCTGGAGGAGTAAGACTCTTTTGCAGAACGACTGGCTCAAGGGAGTTGCTTGGTGCCAGGGCCACGAGCAGTTGAGCTGGGAGGTGGCGATGGATAACATGAGGACCAAATGGGACAGGGTCGCCGACCACGGGGCTTTCACACCTCTGCTGAAGCAAACCATCCAGACCCTCGTGGAAGGCACGACTTGGACGAGGTGGCAGACATTGAACAATATCGCATCACCTGACGTTCCCTTCACACTCACTCACGGAGATTTTCACGCCAACAATATTCTATTTATGATCGAAAACAGGCAGCCTCGGACAATTTTCGTCGATTGGGCCCAAGTCGGCGTTGGCTGCCCCTTCACAGAAATCGCCCAGTTTATGATTAGCAACGCCACCATAGAGTTTCGCCGGGACAACGAGCGACATCTGTTCGATGAGTACTACTCTCGATTGATAAAGCTGGGAGTGGACTCCAAGCTCTTCCCGAATGATCGGTGCTGGGAACGCTACAAGTCCGGCGGCATAGAACGATGGCTGCAGCTACTGGTTCTTCTCGTGTCTGCCAATCTGCCTGAACGTCCCCTTATGTGGTTTAGTAACCAGGTCGAGAGTTTTCTCCGAGATCATTCATCTTCGGTGCCCGAGTGTTTCCGGACGGTTTATCTGTTCCCTTTGTGACATGAAATCAGATTCTTTGCAGGCCAGGATTCGCAATTTTCATTTTCATCTTGCACCACAATGTCGTAATCACTAGAGCCTCTCGACCCACTCATCGTCGTCCGCTTTGTAGAGAATCGCTGTGAATAAGGAATGCTTTGAGAAAGTGGAGGCTGGTGGTTCGAGTACATGTATAATGTCTTTGTTTTCCAGTAGGCGAGTCGACCACTGTTTTGCTTGCACATGTGGAGCATTTTAGGGTCTCTCCTCGACTCTCAAAATGAGGTCTGTGGGACGATTGCAATCTCCCCAAGGCCAGAAGACTACAGCAGGTCGCGTGGACTGATCGCCCCAGAAGCTTCTGTCACAGTGCCAGTGGATAGTTTATCCACTACGGTGAAGCTTGAAGTTTGTAATCACAGTCCTATGTACACCGAATTTCTAGGATTTCTGGTGCGTGACATCTTCGTCAGCAGGATGTTGTCTCAGCTTGGAATTGCAATTGGATGATGCGCGAAAATTTTGGGGGGATTTGAAGGAAGGGACTCAAGAGTGTGATTCTTCACAATCGGCTGGCTGGGGACTAGAGATGTGAGTGAGGTCCATCAGTCCTGAGAACAACCATAAAGTAAGTTTACACCCGAGCATCAGTATCAACAACTTAAGTGGGAATCAGCCACTCTTCCTAAATACTTGTAGCTGAACTTAATGATTGATGACACTTGGTTCAATAACAAACATTTAGGCCGTGTATACATCTAGCCTTAGAGAAGTGAAGGAGGAAATGGAATCCCAAAAACATCCTACGATACGTCTGGGACACATCGATTGTAAGACCGACATTTACTTGGAAGGAAATTAGAAAGAAATAATCTATTCAAGGTATAATTGACGTGGTCATCAACATGTTTAGATAAAGTACTCTTAATCATCTATCGGGGAATTCTGTATTCAGACCTGCCTTGTTCGCTTGACGCTTTGATACGGTAGCGAGCATTTGGCCAACTCCGGCTGATAGTGAATCTTCTCGCTCGTGAGGCTACAGAGTGTGTTCCCTTGAGATAGACGATTACAACTTCAATTTGGGTATGTCTAATTGTCCCAATCCTTGACTCCTTCCCCCTAACTTCTAACCTCCTCACGTTCCCCACGTTCCTAAACCACGTTTGGACCTCTTACTCCTATATCCGCGAAAGCTATGGCCGCAGCATCTAAGAGGTAAGCAGTCGTCATGAACACAAATGTCGATGTCATATTGTGACCAGTCATTGTTGTTCACATTCGGTAACATCAGTGCGTTGCGAACATATATATATATATATATATCTTCCCTCATCTACACCGATGCTATAACCATAGCTTATCCAATTATTATCGAGATCAAAGTTACCAATGTCACTCATTTAACCTCTTACAGTACTCACCAATTACTAATGAGCAGGACGGGATTTGATAGGGTTTAGATGAAGTGAGGAATTTTGCTAACATGTCTTCATATGATGGATTGGTTAAGCATATGAGACTGGTTGATTAGTTTTTTCATGATGGACTCCATGAATTAAACCTAAATAGAGAATAGCATATGTCATGCATAATGGATCAATAATTCCACATGAATTCTCGATGTCTTTATGTGATCTTCTTGACCATGAGCAAACAATTCTCATCACAACTATGAGTAATATTTGTTTCTCAACCATATAATTCATCATGGCAAAGATCCAAGAAACCTATAGACAACTATTTAATTTGTTATACCTATTTCTAAAACGGTTTAGGTAAAACCAAGAACATAAAAATACAATATAGAGAAATCCAAGAAATCCATCACATGAAAACCTACGCAAGAAGTACTTGGTTCACCCACTAGGGCTATTTCCACGGGAAACTCATTGTTTATGAAGTTCCAAAGGTGAAAAGAGACTAGTCTTTGCATGTTTATAGTGGCAGGTCAAACATGAATAGAGAATTCAAGTTGTGGGCACATAAATTAATGGGGAGATTGTAAACTACATAATTGATACATATGTTCTAGAAAGAAATCTAACAAAATGTTCATTTTTAAACTAAATTTAACTAGATTTAAACTTTAGCCGAAACAAAATAGAGTAATATTATAAAGACGTAATTGAAACGCTAGTAAATTTTTATTGTGCTTATCATCCAAAACGTGCTTAAAAGCACAATGTCGTTGAAACTTTTCAACGTATCATATGAATTGAATTTATCATCAATCTTGACTAGTTTAATCTTTTTATCAAAAATTGCATGTCTAGATAAATAATATCTGATGTTGATGTGCTTCACTCCCCTATCCATAACTTGATTTGCAGCAAGATGTAAAACATTTGAACTATCACAATGAAGATTGACATTCCACTATTTCAATTTCATCTTAGTGATAAGCTTATGTAATCAAATAGCTTACTTTGTTGCTTCAGCTGCCGCTACATGCTCAACTTCCATTGTTGACTGAACTACATACTTTTGCAAGATAGATCTCCAACTAATGCATTCACTATCAATTGTAAACACATACCTCGTTATAGATCTCCTCAAGTTTACATATTATCAACATCAACAAAGATTTGACATTGTCTAATAAACCATCAAACAATTAATCATAATACTTAGTAATCTTCAATTACTTAAAAATTCATTTCACTACTTTCCAGTGAACCTTCCTTGAATTCAACATATACTTGTTCACCTTGCCCATAGCTAAGATTAGACCTTGTGTACACTACCAAATACATGAAATTATACATAGTTTTGTCACAGGGAACACATGATATTTTTGTATTTTCAATGACATTGTTTGGACATAAAGATGCAGAAAGTTTGAAAGTTATTGTTAAAGAAATTCCTACTACTTTAGAGCCGGCTATGTTAAAATCTGTAAAGTTTACGTTGAATATATATGCCTTGACTCAATCATAGTCTAATCTTCATCTATTTTTTATGAATTTTCATTGATAATATACTCTTTGACATATCCAACTTCTTCATCTTGAATGCAGAGTTTAACCTATTCTTGCATCTATTGACGTTGGATTGGTTCTTCGTCAAAATAAACATGTCATTCATGTAAAGTACTAAAATAATAAAATGAAGATTTCAATATTCACCTTCTTCATGTATACACAAAATCATACACACTCCATGAAAAATCTTGTGACTTCATGAACTCATCATCTTGCATTTCACCATTTAAGAGCTTCTTTCAATTGATTTAATGATTTCAGCAATCTACAAATCAACTTCTTGTCGCCTCTTTCCTCAAAGAAGAAAGTCATCTACTTATCTTGTGTAGATTTATTTCTCCAAAGATTCATAGAAAAATGTATTCAAATAATCCATTTGATCCATAAGATGATCAAATATTGCAATTAGTGCACATATCACACAAATTGTAGCATACTTTGCTACATGTGAAGAGATTTTGTTATAGTCCACACTTTTCTCTTGTGTGAAATTTCTAACCACAAACTTGACTTTGAAGATCTTATCCTTATCGCCTGTAAACTTGTATATTAGCTTTTGTACATATTTAAAATCAATCAAAACCTTAACTATAAGAAGCTCAACTATCTTTCAAGTCTTGTTATCAATTAGCAACTGCATCTCACGTTCCATAGGAGCATTGCACTCAAGCTTATTGACAAAAATTTAAAAATAATATTACTCTTCTTCCAAAATCAACACAATGTCATCACCATCATCTCTATCAATGTTACGATCTTCAAGAATGGATGAATTAGCTCATAAACCATATTTCACATAAGCTCTACTAATCTGAATCAATGATCTCTGAGTAAAAAATTTTGATTGGTCTCTTTCGTTTGGTGCATATGCTTGAAACTCACCAACAATAACTTGCTAGTCTAGTTCTTGTTTTTTAGTAACTTGGTACATCTGTACTGAAACTTCTCTTTGTGTTACATCATTAATCAAATAATGATCAAACTCCTACTCAATAACATCAGTGAGTGTAGACTTTTTCTTGACAATAAGTGAAGCATGAAAACTCCGACTCTCTTTCAATGATCTGGACTTATTTACAAAAACATTCCTATTGTCAATCATCTTACATCTTAATGATCGTAGAACCTATAACCCTTCACATCACTAACATATACAAGAAAATGACAATTTTATGAAACAATATGCAGTATAATCAAAAGTTCTCCAACAATTATAATCAGCACTCCATTTGTGTTTTGTTTCAAATGATATCAACAAATTGATTATAGCAAAAAAAAAAATGTTTACTAAATAAACTGCGCTATAAATAGCTTTAACTAAAAATTCATATAATAAATCAGATTGTTTCAACATATTACGCAACTTCTTCAGCATTGTTCAATTGAGACTTCCGAATATAGCATTTTGTTGCAAAGTATAAACCGTGGTGAGATGATGAGTAATCCCCTACTCTTTGCAATAATTTTGAGACTCTTCAAAAATACAATTTCTGTTATTATTTGTACGTAAATATATCTTAGAGTCTCAACTTAGACTTTTCAACTTTTGAAATTTGTAAACATCTCAGAATTGTGTGTGAGGAAATATATATATACAAACCTTGACTAATCAGCAATATAAAATACATACCATAACTTTCTAGAGAGTGAGACTTTAGGAGAGGGTTTCCACACATCATCATGTACATACTCAAATAACTCCTTATTACTCCTTAGAAATGTGAGTTTCAACAAAAAAGTATTTTCTATGCTGCTTGCCATAATACAATGTTTGCAAAACTTCAAACCAACTTTATCCATACCAAGTAACAATTTTCTCTCCGTAAGTAGAAACATGTACCTATGTACTTATGTATACTAGCCAACACATACATAATGTCACACATAAGCAGGCCTCATTAAAATAGTCAATCTATAAATAGATGACTAATTTGACTAATTTCACTTTGAAAAAATAACTAATTTTTGGAATTTTTTCCTTGATAGCTTTTGACGATTTTTGCGAGCTACGGATTGCGTGGAGTCCGTTCACGCAGTCTTCCTCTGGAATTTGGTGTCTATCCATTTTTTGTCGCTCCCAACATCTGCTCCCATGGCAGTTGAACCTCCTTCCAAAAAGTAAAAGAGTTCTGCATCTGTAAGACCGGGTGTTGCACATATGTATTAAGTCTCAGAAGTGGTCAAGTGATTGAGGATTATTAGCCAAGGGATAGCTAAGTCTAGCTAGTTATGACTAAACTAGTTAGTTATAACTAAGTTTATCTTGTCATAACTAAGTTTAGCTACAATGTCTATAGTTGGCGGAATGATTAGCGGAGTTCTAGAAGAATGAAGTGAGCACTTCTATTTTGTCTTATACAAAAGTTCTAGATTCCAAGGGATTAGATATTTGACTAAAAAGCTTGGATTTGATTGGTTAGACTAAAATGTATGAAAGATGATTGGCTAGACTAAGTCTAATGTTGACTTGATGGCTAAGAAGCTTGTAGAAGTTTAAAAGCTTCCAATGGCATGTCGCCACCTCAGCCTTGGATTCCGGAAACTTCTAGAAGGTTTAGCTAGGCCAATGGCATGTTGCCACATAGAGAGTGTTAGTCAAACTTACCTAGGTAAAGGTAAGTTAGGAGAAATCACCACATGTGGTATGGTAACTTTTCAAGTAGTATAAATAGAGAGGTAGAGTAGCACCTCTCAAGCAAGTTTGGAGAGTCATGTGTGATGACTTGTTTCACGAATGAAGGAGTGAAGTTTTTGAGTATCTTGGAGTATCGACGTGTGTTTGCGTTTATGTGAAGAGAGTGATGTGAGGAGAGTTTGTGTGTGAGTTGGAGTGATATATGGAGAGTTTGTGAGAGAATGTGTTTGCGACATGAGTGTGAGGATGAATCCTAGTCTTCTA